TATATATTTCAAGGAATAAATCAATACAACTATCTTTCGAGACATTCTAACAAATTATGCCTGGCTCTCCTTAGTGGGGCAGAATATCGACAAAGGTGTTGTAGTATCGGCTGACTATGTGATCGTCCCTGCACATATCGGCCAGGTATTCAGTAACACAAGCACCACACACATTGCATATGGCAGCATATACTACAACCAGACTCTACATACAATACCATGGTACTGAAGTGATTTTACCTGGCTCTCCATAATGGGGCAGAATATCGACAAAGGCGTTGTGGTCTCGGCTGAGAATGCGATCGTCACAGTAAATGACCACCGCATGCCCACGCGCCCAAGCCATACGGAAGATCTGTGTCGATATGCTCGCATCTATGGTTGTACTTTGGATTGTCTTCCCGGTGTGATCGTGAATCTGAGTATGTGGTTGATAAGCGGTGGTTTGTAGCGAGTTGAGAACTGTTTGGTAGTGAATGGGGCAGGACACAGGTGTAGGACGGTCAGTGTAGACGCGCTCGCACACATCTATGGTTGTGCTTGCATTGTTGGAATATTCGTGCCATAAAGTGGGATGCGAAAGCGTTGGAGAGTTTAGCCAAGTAGACAAGAATAGAGGCGTATGCGGGACTATGTGAGTATATTCGCATCGTTGGTTGAGCTCTGATTATAACATCATTAGACAGTGCGACAAGGTTTGAGGGCAATGAATATCTGCGCAGTTAGGTTCGCATCACCGGGTGTGATTCAGATTGACTACCCGTGGTGATCGTGAATCAGAGTTCGATGTGGAGCTACATTGAAGCTTTTGACAGCATGTTTGCACACACCTGCACGCATATACAATGAAGTTCGCTTATATATATACTACAAATTGTGGGAATCCTGAACCCCGGATCCTGAATCCAGACATACCACCAGTCCATTGACATTGAGGCCGATGCATCTAGGGTCATCCAGCATACCCAGCTCCTTCCTAACATGCATAGTGGAGGGGAATGTCTTCCCAGTGGCAAAGAGTACTGGAATTTGCAAATCACCTGTCACTTTCTTCAGCACTTCTAACGTCCGAGCAGTAACCTCGTGTGCTGTGTGCGTAGGTAAGTTGGGTGTATTCGCGATGAAGGTTGTGAGAACGATACCGTGGCATAGTATGGCGTCTGATTTTCAGTGACATAGAATCTATTCGTTTTAGGGTTTTGCTTGGGGATAGTATGCCCTTAAAGAGATCATGACTCCACTGTTGTCATGCACATATACTTAGTTAACACATAACTAATTGCCCTATCGAGGCAAGTGTGCCTCTGTTAGCGAAGACAACAGAATAGTACAAACCACAAAATACCTTCCGCTCGTGCCTATTGTTTCATATGTTATCTCGTGCTCTGACTATAACAAACTGCATTCGAAATTGGATGTTGCATCCATATTGAACGTGTGCGATGTAATTCGTGATTTGTTCAGAAGTAAAAATATAACCGTCATCTATTGGGATACATATGGACGGATTAAATTATTTTGAAGAATAGTCTGTGTACAATAAAAGTAATATGCATATAGGTAGATGAATATACAGAATGAACTCTACATTCAAATACGCGTATTTGTATCTGTATATGGCGCGAAAAAAAGGCAGGAAAAAAACATCAATATATATATGTCTATATAGATGAAATTTGCGTACAAATAATCGTACAAACACTCAGGTACACATGCACAGATTAAGACAAA